AGTGAACTGGGGAACCCAACTCCCCAACAAACCGGCTGCAGGGACGACTCTGCGATGATTCCGCAAGTGAAGTAATCTCCGGCGGCGATCTCGTACAGCTTCACGCCGCCGGGAGGCGGGGTCGACTTCTCCACCCGATACCCCCAGCAGACAATCCCGCGATCAACCCTCCGAATCCCACAAGCGTGGAACCTCCCGCCGACCACCGTCAGCAAAGGTTGCCTGGGTTCCAGCCGGGAAACAGTGATGGCCTCTCGGAGATCCAAGCTTCTTCCCCAACAAACAACCCGAGAATCCGACCCGTCAAGAATCCCACAAACATGGTACCCGCCGGCGGCGATCTTCCGAAACCTCGTACCCGTCGGAATCAAGCTGATAACCCGGCTGCTAGTCTCGTCCCCCCAGCAGAACACGCTCCGGTTCTGGGAAAACAACCCGCAGGTAAACTCCGACCCGGAAGAAATCGACCCGATCGGGCCATCAAACCGGAAGCTTCTCGTCATATTATACCCCCAGCAGTCAACAAAAGAAACATTCCGGTACCTCCTCCCCTGCAATGGCTTCCTGAGCCCACAAAAATGGTGATCTCCGGCGCTGATCTCCAGATACTCATTCCTCTGGTCCATGGGCTGCGGGACCCCCATCTGGACGAAATTGCTGTTCCCCCAACAATACGGCTGGCCGGAGTCCATCAGAAGCCCACACACGAAGTCGTTGCCGCCGGTAATGGCGAGAAAAGCGGAGTGGGAAGGAGTGGCGTAGATGACGGCGGAATTGGAACCGTAACAGGTGACAGTGTGGGATCCGTCGGGCTTGAGGCCGCAGAAAACGGGGCCGTACTCCCCGTACGAGACAGCGATTGTGGACATTGACCCCAGCCCGGACAAAACCCTAAACCAGATTACAAAGAACCCGAGAAAAACCAGAGCTTTATCTAGAGACTGACGCCGCCATCTCGCCGGAATAATGATGCCCATTACCGGAAAGTTTTCAACGTCTTTCAAACGAGACTTACTCAAATAAGGCAAAAGAGATCCAAAAATGATAATCATCAGAGCCAGAAAGACAATAAATATGATGAATCATAAAAAAAAGAACACAACCCATGCTCCAAGATCACATCTTTATCGATCAAGAACCCATTACATATATGTATCAGAACTGGAAGAAAAGGGGTTGCTCTTCTGGGGCGGCCATTCTTTCATTCCATTGGTGTCTGGGTTTTTTGTTCTTCAGAGAATCAGAGTGATTGTAATCGCATTGGAGATCGAGGCGTTGAAAAGAAGAAGCCCTTCACTCGAGATCTTGATTAGGGAAAGAAGATGATGGACATGGGCATAGCTAGCGGCAGGGGAGATGGAGGCGAAGAACTTTGAGAGAGAGAGAGAGAGAGAGAGAGCATTTAGTGCAAATGGAAGAAATGCAGGTTTCTACAGAAGAGCAACGGGTGGGTGGAAGCAATAAATGGGGAATTAAATGGGAAAACGATCTTTGTTTTACTCATTTCTGGATTTGTGCACACATGTATGTCCACATTTCCTCTCCATTCTCCCATGCAATTCCAATGTACTTCTTCTTCTCCTTTGTCCTTTTCACTCCTCTTTTATTTGCTTCTGTTGATTTTTTTAATGTAATTTGAATCATACTATAGCTCATACTAGTTCTATTGGTCTCATTTAATCACTATTTAATAATATGAATTAATGTCATAATATGAAAGTGTTTAAACTTTTGTAAAAGAAGTAATGGATATAAAGATATTATAATTTGTTTAAACTTTTAAAAACCATCCGTATAGATAAATGAGTCCACCCATTAAACTATTTTTAAATATCAGTTCTATTATACTCCCTCTCTCTTATACTCCCTCTGTCCTAAAATTAATTTCCCAGTTTGACTTTTGCAGTCAAACTTTTTAAACTTTGACTCTAGATTAAGGAAAAAATACATTGAATTTTCTAATAAATTTTTTTAGGAATAGATTCATTTTGGAATATAATTTTGAAATATATATTTTTTATAAAATATATCTATATAAAAATTGAGATATTGATGGTCAAAGTATCACATTGGAGACCGTGAAAAGTCAAATGAGAAGTTAATTTTAGGACGGAGGGAGTACTTGGTATTAAATTTCTTAGTTTGAATTTTGTGGTCAAATTTTTTGAATTTTGATCACATCTTACGAAAAAATACATTAAATTTTAATACACGTTTAATACCAATAGATTCATTATTTTGAAATAATTTACTTTTATAATATATACTTCGTATTAATATATAAATACAAAAACTAATAACCAAAATGTTGCATCGGATCGGAGATAGTAAAAAATCAAATGCGAAGTTAATTTTAGGCGGATGGAGTAATAAATAATTAATATAATTACTAATTTTAATTGTTTTCAAGAGTTGGTTTTTTCTCTATAACTACATATTTACTTGTACACTATTCTTCATTCTTACTTCGTACTCGGTATTTTACTAATTCTCAAATAAATATTTATATTAAATTATTGTAAACTTTAATCTCTAATTTGATTTTTATATACGAAGCATATAAATTCATATAATTTCTAAATTTTAAGTTTAATACCTTTGTAATAATTTTACTCATCACACACACACATAGATATAATTTTTATTTTAATACCTTTGTAATAATTTTACTCATCAAAAAATCGGTGCAGTTCATGTGACATTGAGTCGATGATGTATGATCAACCAGGCCTCCTATGGTGCTTCTTTAAAAAAATTGATGGTTCCTAATCAATTCCCACCAACCCCCCCCCCCCTCGTAACGCCAATTTGCTACAGTAGTGCCTCATATCGCAAATTTGCGATAATGGTGCCTCATATCACAAATTTGCTACAACGACCATTGTAACAAATCGACAATACAATGAATAAATCACCCTAAATAAGAGCAAGATATAAAGCAAGTACCAAAAATTGGGTTACATGTTTTTATTCTAACAATTTGAGTAGACATTATGTTAATGCGACATTATGTGTGGATATTTCATAATACTTTCTGGTAATATATATAATCATAATTGACACTGTAATTATATTTTAACTGCTATTTCTAGAACAAAAACATGAATTTCTTATTTTGATATATTTTTAATAGTTTACTCCTAATTTAATCTTTTTTCCATTATGATTTAGAAGGGGGTCTAGGGGGTGCAGGATGATTTAGGTGGAAGAGTGGTAGGGCTAGAGGAACAATTAAATTTTCAAAGATAGCACCATAGGATGCCCGAGTCAACTAATGACATTCAAAACAAAAGTCACAAGATTCAGGCTATTAAAAATACTCCTAATTTAGTAGTATTTTTTTTCCATTATGATTTCGAAGGGAGCCTAGGGGTGCAGGATGATTTAGGGGGGAGAGTGGTAAGGTTAGGGACAATCAAATTTTCAAACATAACATCATAGGAGGCCCGAGTCAACTAATGACATTCAAAACAAAAGTTGATGAAATAAGAGATGTAGATGCTCTTAGAAAGAGTAGCCCATCAGCTATCCTTGAGTCCCTCACTTAGTTTTGGACACGTTTTCAGTTCAGAATCTAAACTGAGGATGCGTTTTGTTCAACTTATTTTTCTGCTTATTACTTATTTTTATTAAAACCAGATCAGATCTAATCAGTTTAGATCATAGCAGATCAAATCCAATCAGATGAGATCTAAATAAAATTAATATTGACATTATTAGTATTACTATTATTGTAGTTATTATTATTACTACTATTATTACTTTTATTATTAATATTATTATTTCTATTACAATTACTATTATTATTACTAATATTTCTATTATCATTACTATTACTATTATTATTACTATTATAATAATAATTTTAATTTTAATTTAAATTGAATTTATATCAGATAAGATCTAATCAGATCACATTAGACTAAATCAGATCTGAACCGCTCAAAAAAATTAGACCAAATCAAATCTTCAAAAATTCAGATTAGATGAGACAAACAGAACGGAACTTGATTTTGGAACGGGACGAGAAATGAAGATGTGGGAATGAAGGTGGGGTACCATACCAAAATGAGGGAGGGAGCTGGTTCTGGTTACCAACATTTAGGTACTCGAAGAGCCTGTTCGGTACCAATTCAAAAATGTTTATTCTTTTTTCTTTTTTCTGGGACTGCATTGGCTGCTAACTATTGTTGAACAATTATATAGCAATTTCAAACCGCTATATGTGGCAAGGGCAAGGGTACGTGAATAATTCCCTCCAAATCCTTTAACTTGCATGATACGGAGTGGAAATTATGTGCTCAACAAATACTTGCTCCATTTCATATTAACTGTTCATTATGAATTTTTTAAATACATTGAAAAGTGAATGAATGCATACATAAACTATGCTTATTCATTTATTTTTCAATATATTTAGAAAGTGTTAATAGATTATCATTCATTCATTTGTTATAACCCAATATAACTCTAAACTCTATTCGGGTATGAGAGGTCAGCATGTCCACAGTTTTATTCCTATAAAAACATAAAGATTGTTTCTGTTCTATCCTAGATGCATCGCTGCATTTACTATCCAAAACTTCATCAAAACTAAATAACAAGGTAAAATTAATGTGCCACTTTGATTTAGTCCATTATGCACTCGAAATTAAAACATTGTCAATAATGACTATTTTAGACAATTCTTCATTTTTTTTATTGAATATTAAGAGTAGACATTTAATTCTGGACGAACGAAATCAAGAAAGCGTACAAATGAATCTTGACAGAGGGAGTTTATGACTTCTACTGCAACCAATGCCTGATCAATCTATTGCAAATTTGAAGAGAAAAATTATATGTGGAGAAGGGAACAAATTTGGGGGGGAAATGGGCAATAACAAGTGGGGTTCATTTATCACATGTCCATTGATTCAAGGGGATGAAAAGCTATTCTCAAAACATGACAAAGAAGGATGCAGAGTTGCAAGGAGTTGGGGGTGGGGGGTGGACCAATACCTGACTTGATATTTTTGTTTTTATAAATGAAGTGAAGAATGGAAACAAACCTGCAAGATAAATATATGAGTTAGCAAATCATCATACTGAAGCAAATCATGGCAGAGGTGAGGTTTGTAATAATGAAACTTACCTATACATATGTGGGTGTATTTGCTGCAGCATCAATGTGTGAGGCCTTTTAAACATCAGTCATGCATCACTGTCAAGTGCCAACAAATTAATACTCCTCCTTAAGTCACTCTTAAGTGTTCTCTTTTGCTTCTCCCACTTCTTATTTCTGCACGAGTTGTTTGTGTATTTCATACTTCCATCTTATTTACTCATGATAATAGACAGCTTGAGAGAGAAATAGAACTCATGCATACATAGACTTTTTTCACATTGAAATGTTGGGTTAGGACAGGTTAAGAAATTGAAAGAACATTGGCAAAACATTTCAAGTACAGCATATCAAATGAAATTTCCAAAATTCAAACACAGAAGATATATAGGCACTATCCCATAGACCAGCGAGGGTCAGAGAAACATAAAAGTTCCTTTTACAAACAGGTTAACGTGGCAAAAGTGCAAAACCATATAAGAACCTTGATCTTCTAACCGTTTCTGTATCTAGAAAAAGGAAAGATAAAAAGTTCAAACCTTAGAGGAAAGCCGTGTGGATCTTCTAGGAAAATTTTGAAGCCGGTTAGCACTTCTTAAATCTCTTCTACTGTTACAGCTATAATCCTTGTCAGATTCATCAATACTTCTCTTTCTCCTTTGTTTTCCATTAGATGCGAACTCTAGCCCCTTGAACAATGCACTGGAAAATACAAACACAAATAAAAGTAAACCACTTCAACATTCGGTGGTCATACGCATTGCAAAAACATATTGATTTGCTAGTAGAAATTACTCGGTATAGTCTCTCCCTTTCAGATGTATGCCATTTACATTTGAGCAGCAATATATGATGTCATTTCCCTGTAGCAAGTCCAGAAAAAAGAACAAAAATTTAATGTCATCACAACCAAGTAGAAAGAAATATTATACTCTAGCATCAACCAAATAATATATCACTACCCCTCCTGAAGAATCCCTGTGGTACAATCATGTACATACTAACAGGAGGATGCATGGGCTTCTGAAGAAATTGAAAATTCTGAAAACTTTACCACTGTGGCATCATTCACCAAAGTGACGTCATGAAGCACCATGGGCTTGTCATTCTGACTCATTCCCTCTTCTGCCTCAAATGTTATTACATCTTCACTCGAGAGTTGTTTATTTCCCAGGTTCTGAATCTCTTGACAAAAACTTCGAAAATTTTGTTTCTGCAAACTTTTAAAAATGTTTGCCTCATCTTCCCATCTCTTAAACCAATCTGATATGGACGAGTTCAAATCAACAACCAGGTTGATTCCTTTTTCCGATGTGGCCGAAAACTCAAAAGAAGCGGGTACTGACTTGACCCCAGATACAAACGTGCTTCCAAGACTTGATTGTGGAGAATGAACTTTGACTTTTGTATTGTTGTCCAATGAGTCCATGCCTTCAAAAGTTTCAGCACGTGCTGCCTGCATTAGCACAAATGAATAAGTAGTCAAAAACTATTCCAATGCACAAATGAATAAGCAACCAGTAAGCTAAATCTCTAAAGACTACTCCAATGCACAATCATAGGGGAGCAAAACTGATACTTTGAATATCAAACTCACTCCAGTGTCTTGATGGATCTTGAATCTAGGGGTAGGACGAAAATAAGGCAATGGAACAGTAGAATAAGAAATCGGGGTTCGAGCTCGAGCATGCCCTCCACTACATTTATACATTTACATTTCCATATGCGTAAACTTAACTACGCCACTGATACAAGGCATCTATGGGGTGTTGGGCTCAATAGGCCAAATTATCGCCTCAATTCACCCATCAATATAGTTTTAACACATTTGTTGTTCGATTATCTCATGAAAATCATCCAGCAGTGGATCGTCACCGAATTGGGGGTGCACTATGGGGGGGCTGGGGGTGGGGAAAATCATCCGGGTAAATGGACCCAGGATTATAATGTGACACTCATTGCTACAGCTAGAGTCAAAATAACCTAGCAGATTAGGAACAGCCAGTTTCAATACATAAAATGATCACCAAAACGATGAGGAAGATATGATTCAGAAGGCTTTACCTAGGGCATGTAAGTGCAGATCGCAGAGACGTGATAACATCTAAGCTTCGGCGGTTTAGGGCAAACTTCACAGGTGAGAGAGATGCGGTGAGAATTCGGATCCGGCGGCGGATCGGAGTACAACCGCACAACAGCCTACTAGAATGCGAAGTGCTGAGAGCTTGATCAGATCCGCCCGTTTCCAGAGCGGGAAAACTCTTTTTAGAATTAGGAACCGCCGCCTAATCGCCGTCGAAACACTGTAAAGATAATTTCACATATTTCACTTTCCTATTTTTTCCTCTAAGGGTTCCATAAAATTTCTTTCTTTAACCAAATTTTACTCGCACAGTCACACACTTTCCATTTTTAAAACAATACTACTTGTGTCCGAAAAAATTGTAGCATTTGACTGTTTATTTATTCTTTAACTGTTCATTGATTATTATTACTTGATAAGATAAAATATTTTTGTTATCATTAATCTTGTAAATTTTTTGGCGTACATTTTAAATATGTAAATTTTATTTTTTATTTCTATCGATCCTTCTTTTGACAACAATATTTATTTTCATATTATGACAACAATGAGTCAATGACCCATAGTGCTTCTTTTGAAAAATTTATGGTTTCTACACACTAACTCTCCTCCTAAACCCACCACTCCTCCTTGCCCCTACCCCAAATTGCCGATTGGCTACATTTTTACTATAGCCAATCAGCGGCTTAGGGTGGGGAGTGCTAGGGCGGGGGCATGGAGTTAGGATAGGAACATCAATTTTTTGAACGAAGTGTCGTAGGTCTTGTTGTCATACTATGACATCAAGGTTTGTTGTCAAAAGAATCCAACAGTATTTTTATATTAATCTTTAAATAAAATGAATTGAAAAAACTCAAAAATTTACTTTGTTTAGCTTGATATTGTAATCTTTTTGGATCAGATGGACTTTGTGACTACCAATAATTCTTTCTCCTCTAAATAAGTTCTAATCATATCCTTTTCTAATTCTCTACAAGATTCTTAAACACCGTAAAATCAAAGTGTCAAAAAAAAATATGGGATAAGAATAATTTCAACAAACTTGTTCATTTGATTTTTGAAGCTAACATTTTCGATTATCTTTCGAATGATATCTTTTAATAGTACAAATTAAGTTTAAAAGGGGAGTAAAATTAAACATTACTATTAAGTAATCATTTGATAGATGATATCCTAAAATTTAGCACAAAAATTATTATTCATATCAAACAGACACTAACGTTATCTTTGAATTAATAAAATTTGGAGGGAAAAAATTTAAACAGTTTTTTTTTTCATTTATTTTCACCAAAATAGGAGAAATTTTGTTTTTCCCTCTCTTAATACATTGTGCCTCCTTATTTTCTTTTTCCTTCAAACTTTTTTTTTGCAAACCTAACACAGTGGAAATACTTTAAGATTGGAAACTACTCTTTCGCTTAGAATGGTTTACTTTTACACTTTCTCTTTTCTAAGACGCCCAATATCAATTGATCATTTACCATCCATGGCTCATTTGCAGAATTTTCTATAATATTAGCATGAGAGAGAGTAATCTTACACCATTTTATTGATGAAAAATTATTACACCAATTCAATTGGAAATCCTACAATGCTACAATTATAAAATTGGTAGTTCATACTCCTCTAACCCTCCGATAAACTCCCAACCCAGCCCGTCCTTAATGCACCCTCGTACCCATCCAATTGCACCATCCAAAATTTATTGTCAAACTTTTTACTCAAAATTTGGATGGTGCAATTAGAGAAATGCGTTAGGGACAAGCCAGGCTGTGGAGATTTATCGGGGAGTTAATTGGTACTATAATATTACCTTCCTCTACTAACACATGTTGACGGATAGAACAAATAAGCCATGATAGAGATTATGGGTTAGACAATGGGTTCGAATTTACCACATATACCAAACACTAATTTCATAGGAACATGGTAATAAAATTGCACACATTTTCATTGTATGTTTTTATCCTATCCCCATGGCATGTCCAAATTGATTAGCGTCCATTTGAAACTCAAAAAACATTACAAAACCCTCAGGCGTAACATGAAATAAGTACGGTTTTTTGTAGACCTGGCAAAAAGTAACCCGACCTGTTTTTGACCCGAAACCCGACCTGAAAACACTGGGTTTTGAACAAAGGTTTTGATGACCGAACCCGAAGTTGACCGAACCCGAAATGACCCGCTAAAAAAGGGTCAAACCCGACCAAACCCGAACCCGACCTAACCGACCCGCTAAAGTAAGAATTTTTCAAAATTGTACACTTTTTTACTCGTTTTTAGTGTATAAATTTATATTTTCAGACAAAATTTTAATGATATTGCATAATTATCTTACTTTTTCCCCAAAACATAAGCATTTTTAAATTCCTTATATAGATTTTTATATCTAAATACTACTTTAGAGTTTACAATAAAATAATTTTATAGATTTAATACTTTTTTTTGATATTTTAAATTTATTAATGTGAATTTAAAAATTTAAATAACCAAAGTCATAACCCGTTGGGTCGACCCGAACACGATGACACTGGGTTATGAACATAGAATTCTCAACCCGAACCCGAATTGACCCGAACCCAAAATAACCCGAAGTTGAAGTGACCGAACCCGAACCCGACCTGACCGACCGATTTGCCAGCTCTAGTTTTTTGTGTCCAAAGTCCAAACCATATTTTGTTGTTCGTTTCCAGTTTTCGCCACATGCACCGAGCCTATATTAGTCAAAAACAAATATCGAAAAACATATGCATATAAAGCCCTCCTTCAAGTTGGCTATTATCATTCAAGAGTTGTTTGGTCTGCGTGTCCAATCCTGCGAGCGACTCTACTGGGAGGATTTCATCAAAAAACAGTAAATGCAGACTGAATGGTGGACGAAACCCGGGAGGCAAGGGTCTGAGTGGCAAATGCTTGAAGCTGCTTCTTCGCATCTGCAAAGGGAAATCGATCAAAAGCTTCAGGTATTAGACAGTTAGAGAATAATGTTCGATGCTTTGCAGAAGAGAAAGAGTGATCTAATAATACTTCTGGATGCTAAATTTTGCCATAGTAATAAGATCATACTCGTCTCTATCAGGTGGTTAAACTACACAAAGATGTAGCAATATATCCAACATAGTTTTTATTTAAAAAAACAAACATGTTGGGATGCTTCCCAATGTTGCCGAAAATGGGAAGGGCGGGTTTATGACATTGCAGAAATAGGACATAGATGAAAAGGTCTATTAGACTTAAATTTGTCTCCCTATATGAGATACCCACTGCTGCTGCACCTTATTTCTTGTGCATTGACCCTATGTTTGGTTTGAGGAATGTGAGGGAAAAGAAAAGAAAATGAGATGGAAAACACTTTTTCTTGTTTTGGTTAGAGAGGAAAAGAAAAGTAGATGGAAAACAAAATGAGAGGAGATAATTGACTAAAAAAGGAAAACAACTTTCCTTCCATTTTGTAAGAAAAATGCGAGATAACTCTCTTTCTTTCCTTCCAAATTCCACAAACCAAACATAGCATAAGTAGCAAAAAAGGAAACACGCAGAGTGAGATCATTCATTTGCATCTCAGAACTCATACACAGATTATTTTACACGGAATGGAAGAAATCAGCAGAAGTGATGGGTATTCGCAACTTATCTGGTTTCAGTATTGCTAATTAATGCACAAGATGATAAGGTTGTTAATGCTACTGTGGTTATCTCATACAGTGCTCGACTGACAAATACAACAACAACAAACCATGTGCCTGTGTGTATTTCAAATTTTCAATATGCCCAATAGTCCAGCACAAATGAAGTAAAACAAATGACCTCATGGGCGAGAGAGTAACAATGGTAACTGTGTTGATTGTCGGCGAACAAGTTATGAACAACAAAAACTTTACCCCAATGCCTCAATGGCTCCTGCCCATTACAGGGTAAGGTGGGGTCGGATGTACACAGTCTGACCCCTATGTATAAAACATAGAGCGGCTGTTTCCAGATGACCCATGATGAGCGTCGAAAGTTGCATTGACTAACTGCTACTTCACAATTGCAAGAAGCGCAGACAGTTTAAAGAGTCAATTTTCTTTATTTCATCATTACCCCAAAGCCAAAAAAATAGTGAATCTTTGGCTCCACATGAGAATGGAAAATTATAAATAGTGAACAAGTTATAAACAATGTAAGAAAATTATAAATCAGGCCTTCTACTCTCTTTTTATCATGAAGATAGTGTTTGAAACAATGATGTGCCTGGGTGTGCATAAACATGCAAATATGCAATCAGACAGAGTATTTAGGTAGGTCACAAAGAAGAGATTTTTTCTACCGACCTTTGTGGCATCTTGTAAACCCAACAATATTTGCAATGCTGAGTGTCAAGCACACTCCAATAACAAGGAGATAGTCAGCTTGGAACCTAATAAGCGAGAATATTGCGAGGAAGATCCAAGCAACCGCCTAATCACACCCCATGTAAAATATCAGATGTAGTATTACATATAGATAAATGCTCCGTAGAACAACATGAAGCAGTAATGACAAATCTTAAAGATGCTATTGAGTTCCATCACTATTAGCACATTAATCCCAATTGCGAACTAGTTTGGGTCGACGGCATCAGTTTATAGTGCCGATTAATTGTATAAAACTAAGTAAATCTAAATTCATGCAAAAAACATAGTACCAATGTTTTAAGCTGGATGCCACAGCCTTCATAAGAAGGAATAATGAAGTTTAGAACAAGGCACACTGAACATATGCTATACTTTCAGCCTTCACACCATGTTTGGTTAAAATAATTTGAAAGGGAAAAGAAAAGAAAATGAGAGGGAAAATAGCTTTTCTTGTTTGGTTAGAGAGGAAAAAAGAAAAGAAAAGTAGGACAAGAAGAGAAGGAAAAATGTACTAAGAGAAGGGAAAACCTAATTCCTTCCATTTTGGTGAGGGAAATGAGAGAAAAGTCAGAAAACTATTTTCTTTCCTTTTCTTTCCAAATTCATTGAACCAAACATGACCTTAAGGATTTCAGTACACATAAATATGGAGTATATTATCTGTGTTCCTCAAAAGTTTAGCACTAAAACTGGATTACATAAATACATGATAGCATTGTTTGA